GGTGGTTCAAACTCACCAACTGCTTCTTGGAAACCCTATACAGGGTTGCTATGAGTAGGAACCAGCTCAAAGGCACTAAACATGTCCTGGTCCAATTATGAGGATGTTTGTTTTCTTGACATTGAAGTGTAATCCATACTGAAGGCTGTGGCCTTTGATCTTTATCAGTAAGTATTTCTAGTCCTCTTCACTTCCAGTAAGCACGATTGTGTCATCTGCATATTGCAGATTGTTAATGAGTCTTCCTCCAATCATGATGCCATGTTCTTCATATACAGTCTTGGAGACCCATAAGACCTTTCTACTCTGTCTTGTAGAAATCAGTGGTAGTGAGGGTTTGTGTGTGTGTGTGTGTATCCCAGTTGCAGTGATTAAAGCATTCAACCACGAACTAAAAGTTCAGCAGTTCAGACTCACCAGTTGCTCAGTGGAAAGAAGATGTGGCAGGTTGGCTTTTGTAGAGATTGTTTTTACTGTTAAGTGCTGTTGAGTCGATTCTGACTCATAGCCACCCTATATAAGGTTTCCAAGGAGTGGCTGGTGGATTTGAATTGCCGACCTCTCGGTTAGCAGTCCAGTGCTTACCCTATAGCGCCACACCAAGACAGCCTTGGAAATCCTGTGGGGTAGTTCTACTTTATCCTGTAGGGTTGCTATTGAGTCGGACTTGCCAGCAGTGGGTTTTTGTTGATTTCTTAAATGTTTCAGTGCCTGTGCCTTCCCAGGTTCCTTTGTGCACACTCATGTTTTTGATCTCCTCTTTTTCCATGAACATCACACTTTAGCCCTGGCTTTAAAATTTTATACCTTTGTTTTTAAAATGACAGTAGGCTTTGCCAAGGTATTCTATCCCCTAACTTCCCATGGGTCCTGATGTAGCGCTGCAGAATCAGCACTGGACTGCTAACCACAAGGTAGGTGGTTCAAACCCACCAGCTGCTCCTCAGAGCCCCCACTGACTCAATGGCACTTAATAACAGCTTCCCATATCTCTTTGCAGCTTCTGGATTTGTCTTCCTTCTTCTCCAAGCCTGTTTGTGGCAATTGTCCTTGCCTAGCAAGGCCTGGGAGTCCTGGTATGGCACCATAGGACTGCTAACTAGAAAGTCAGTGGTTCAAACCCACCAGCCTCTCCTTGGAAACCCTAAACAGGATTGTTATGGGTCAAACCCGACTCCACAGCACATAACCACAACAGTAAAGCCTGGAGGTATTTTATTATACCTTCATATGTGAGTGACAGTTTGACTGGATTTAAGTTTTCAGATTGAACCTTTCTCCCCCGCTTCACATTTAAAACATGATTCTCTGGTTTCTTTGCATTCATTACTAGTGAGAAATCCAAATCTGATGTTCTTTCGCCCCTTGGGCAATCTGTTCTTTCTTTCTCAAGTGTTTAGAGTGCTCTTTTTGTCTTTGATATTTTACAAAGTTACTGTCCAGGATATAGGTGTTGATGGTCTCTAGTTCCCCTGTTTAATGCTCAATGAGACTTTTCATTGTGAGGTTTCCCAACTTTTCTTCAAATCTGGGAATTCATCTTGTTTTGAATCAGGTCTGAAGTTCGAAACTATCAGCCGTTGCATAGGGTCCCTATGAGTCAGAAGGGGCTCCACAGCACATCACCACCACCACCGTTGTGTCTCCCCACCCTTCACTCTGGGACTTTTGGCACTTCTGTGTCTGACCTTTTCTGGGCCTTTCAGCTCTTTCCTGCCTTCTTGTTCTAAGTGTTCTTTGATGCCCTTCTACATATATATATATATAATTTTCTATTTCTCCCTGTTTCGTAAACAACACCCCACACACACACCCCTACAATTTCCTGTACCTGGTCGTACTGCGCCACCTCTCTCCATCTGAGATGTGTTTATAGAGCTGGCTGTATTCTTGCATCTGCCTGCAACTCCACCTCCGTGGCATGGGAGGGGTGGGGTGTCCTGAAGTCACACTGTGTGAGTTCCCACTGGGGGCACGTGGGGCACGTCGGAAACTCCAAGAAGGGCTGAAAGACTGTCACTGTGGGTTGCCCTTGTCACCGAGGCCTCACCTCTGACCCCAGCTGCGGCGGGGAGGGGCAGTGGTCCTGGCCTTTGTGCCCCAGGCTCCATCTTCCCCTGGCAGCCCCCTGCTCTCCATATACACGGTTCAGCGCGGCCGGCCCAGCGCCTTCTCAGGGTTTAAACTGAGTTCTTGGAATCCACGACCCCTCTAGTTTCTCAGGGGTGGGGGAAGGACCAGTCGCCCCCAGCCCCAAACCCTCCGCGGTTCCCAAGGTAGTGGGCAGTTAATACCTGTGGTCCCGGCAGGCCAGTCCCACACAGAGCAACCTCCCTGCCTTTCTGTGCTTGGTCCTGCCTTACCCCAGTCCCCTGCGTGGTCGCCTGGGTTCTGCTTCCCGGGGACTAGGGAGCTGGATGGGCGCGGGCAGGATGAAAGTGGCCCCTGGCCCCCACATGGCGCCGCCTCAGCCTGTGCCTCCGCAGCTCCTGCCTCTGGACGGAGAACTCATCCTGGACTCTGGAGCCGCGTTCAGTGCCTCAGTCGCCACCTGGGACCCGGACTGTAGCGTAGGTGAGGCTGGTGGGCAGCTGGCAGGGCTCTGCGGAAGGGGCACAGCGCGAAGGGAGGTGTGCACAGGTGGGGTATGGATGGAGGTGTGGTCATAGGCAGAGGCGGGGAGGGAGGCGTGGTCATGGGTGGGAGATTGAGGGAGAAGTGGCCGTGGAAGGCACCTGGAGGGTGGTGTCCTGGGCGCGGCACGAGTGGAGGCGTGGTCAAGGGCTGATATTACTGGAGGGCGTGGCCACAACTGGAGGGCGTGGTCAGGGCGGAGCACAGAGGGGGCGTGGCAGGGGCGTGGCACATGGACCAGGCATGGTCTCAGGGTGTGGCGGAGACAGGGCTGTATGAAGGGGGGCGGGAAGTGACAAGACCTGAACACGTCAGCATTTCTCAAGCTGAAAAGAACTGAAGAAAAAAGAATTCAAGCCTCAGGGTGCAATATTAAAGGATTCTAGCGGCATTAGGTAAATCTGCGGCACAAAACCTTTTCAAAGTGATGAAGAGCAAAGATGTCAGTTTGAGGACTAAGGTGCGTCAGCTCCAAGCCATGGTACTTTCAATAACCTCGTACTGGAAGAAGTGCAGCCAGAGTGCTCCTTGGAGGCCAGGATGGCCAAACTTTGTCTATCATATTTTGGACATACTGTCAGGAGGGACCAGTCTTTGGAGAAGGATATCATGTTTGGTAAGGTGGAGGGTCAGAGAAAAAGAGGAAGTTCCCCAGTGAGATGGATTGGCACAATGGCAGCATCAATGGGCTCAAGTGTGGCAACAATTGTGAAGTTGGCCCAGGACCGGGCAGTGTTTCGTTCTATGTGCATAGGGTCACTCTGAGTCGGTACTGACTATGGCACCTAACAACAACTGGCAAAATAATGAATGATACAGAAAGCATCAAAAGATGGAAGGAACACAGAGAGTCACTGTAGGTCATGTCCGACAACTGGCTATACTCTGTGACCTTCACAGAGATAGTAACCCGAATAGGGGTGATGGGAGATTAGAAAAAAAAGGAAGACACAAGACACAAATGAAAATAGTAAAGTTGGACCAGGTGGGACACAGCTCTCTGATGGAGATACTGTGACCTAGATTCAGCACGTTTATTATATACACATATCAAAGGAGGTGCTGGGGGCAGGGAAAGGAATGCAAAAAACATCTGGTGTTATTGATGTATGCAGTAAGCGGGACTTTATCAGAAGAATGTAACTTGTGGTTGCTAAGGAAACAGAGGTAGGGCAGCTAGATGTTTTTCCAGACTTGAACTGAAGGGCATACAAGGAAAAAAAACTTACAAGTTCCCTGTTCTGCAAGTTCCTCAGGGGGCAGCTTGACCTGGACCACAACTGTTCAGTTGCAATCCTTCGGTTAAACTACCCCTAAGTCTGAGACCTTCAGCTCAAATTGCTTCCAACAACTGTACCAAAAAGAAATGGTCAGGGTTCAACCATTTCAAGCGGTAGCATCTGATCAAGAACTGATGGTATTGAAGGAAGAAGTCCAAGCTGCACTGATGGCATTGGCGAGAAAAAACACAGCTCCAGAAATCCATGGGATGAAAATTGAAATCTTTCAATAAACTGATACAGCACTGGAGGCACTCACTCATCTACGCCAAGAAATTTTGAAGACGGCTCTGTGGCCAACTGATTGGAAGAGATCCATATTTGCATCTATTCCAAAGAGAGGTGACCCAACAGAATGCGGAAATCATCGAACAGTATCATTAATATCACATACAAGTAAAATTTTGCTGATGATTATGCAAAAGGGCTGCAATAGTACATCGAAACCGGATTCAGAAGAGAATGTGGAACTAGGGTTATCACTGATGGATCTTGGCCGGAAACAGAGAGTACCAGAAAGATGTGTACTTGTTCTTTATTGACTATGCAAAGGCTTTTGGTTATATGGACCATGACAACGTATGGATAACATTGTGAAGAATGAGTGTTCCAGAACACTTAATTGTCTCATGAGGAACCTGTACATAGATCGAGGCAATCGTTCAAATAGAACAAGGAGATACTGAATGGTTTAAAATCAGGAAAGGTGTGTACCAGGGCTATATTCTTCCTCCATACTTGTTCTGTCTGTATGCTGAGCAAATACGGCGGGAAGCTGGATTATATAAAGAATGTGACATCAGGACTGGAGGAAGACTCATTTACAACCTACGATATACAAATGATACAACCTTGCTTTCTGGACGCTAAGAGATACTGCTGAAAATCGAAGACCACAGTCTTTAGCATGGATTGCATGCCATTGTAAAGAAAACAAAAATCCTTACCACAGGATCAATAAATAACATCACGATAAATGGAGAAAAGATTGAAGTTGTAAAATACTTAATTTTTTTTGCATCCACTATCAACACTCATGGAAGCAGTACTCAAGAAATCAAACATCGTTTTGCATTAGGCAAATATGTTGCACAAGACCTCTCTAAAGTGTTCAAGAACGAAGATATCAGTTTGAAGACTAAGGTGCGCCTGACCCAAACCATGTTTTCCATTGCCTCATATGCATGTGAATAAACAATGACTAGGGAAGACCATAGAAGAATTGAATGCATTTGAGTTATGGTGTTAGAGAGGAGTTTTGAAAGTACCATGGGCTGCCAGAAAAACAAATTTGTCTTGGAAGAGGAACACCCAGAATGCTCCTTAGAAGCCAGGATGGCGCTACTCATGCTTAGGACATGTTATCAGTAGGGACCAATCCCGCTGGAAGGACACCATGTTTGGTGTAGTGGAGGGTCAACAACGAAAAAGAGGTAGAACCCCCCAACAAGATGGATTGACACAGTGGCACCAGTAATGAGCTCCAGCGTAACAACAATTGTGAGGTTGGCATAGAACCCCCGCAGTATTTCTTTCTGTTGTGCATAGGGTAGGCCGCTGTGAGTCGGAACCAACTCAAGGGTACCTAACACCCACAAGACCAGAAGGGTGGCTCAGGGGAGGTACTTTCTGGGTGAGTGCGTTCTGAGGCGGCGCTTTCCTGGATGGCTTGCCCTGGTACAGGGCTTTGTAGGAGGGCAAGGCCTTGAATGGAGTTGGTGTGAGTAAGTGAGAGGACGGTTCAGGAACTTTGGCTTCCAGGAGGCGTGTGAGAGGCCTGACTCCAAGGGAGCGTGTTAGGGCGGGGCTTCCAGGAGGCGTGTGAGAGGCCTGACTCCAAGGGAGCGTGTTGGGGCGGGGCTTCTAGGAGGCGTGTCAGAGGCCTGACTCCAAGGGAGAGTATCGGGGCGGGGCTTCCAGGAGGCGTGTCAGAGGCCTGACTCCAAGGGAGAGTATCGGG